AAATGAATTCTTCCCCTTTCTTCTGCCCATTTCTGAACCCTAAGCAGGACTAGTCCCAGCTCAGCTCAGCTGGGCCCACCTGACCTAAACTATCCCTTGCCAGGACCCATGCTGATGGGTGGCCATGGCAAATTCTGTGACAGGATCCACATGTGGGTGATCTTTGTCCTTCCCAGCTGCTTGTAACCTCAGGACCAGTGGGAGACTAGTGAGAGTGCTTAGGGAGGTCCAGTCCCTCCTGATGATGCTCACCTATACTGAATCCCTAACCCTGGTCTGCAGACCTGTGAAATCCTCAAAGGAAGAATTCTTGGACTATAGCCTGGCACGTAGTGACCCTGGGCAAAATTTCTGGGGCCCCCAAGGGGCTACCTCAGGAAAGCTGCCTGGAACATCTCAACCCAGGAAGAAACTTCCTATTTGCTTTAGGGAAGCAGAAGATCTTAGCCTAGGAGCCTGCACTTCAATCAGCATTCTAGTATGGTCCTCATTCATGGACAAGCCAGAACTCAGGCTCAGCAGAGCTCTGCTTACCATGCTCAGGATGGCCCCCGCTACCCGCTACACATTAGGATCTTGGGGGACTGGGTTGGAGGGGGAGAGCATGACAAGAGGAAGCCTGAGAAGGAGGGACTGAGTAAACACCTAAGCATTCACAATGGGATCACAGTGAGCAAAATTAACAGTGGGTTCAATTTGACAGGTGAGAAAAAGTGAAGTCAAGGTTAAGGGTTGAGCTGAGGTCTTCAGAAAGGGATGGGGTCATTGACTGAAATGGGAAAGTGTTGGGAGCTTCAGGGACAGGCTGGTGGGAGTGGAGGGATCAGAGATCCGTGCTGGTTGCTCTGTGCTTGAGATATCTGTTGCAGACCTGCGCAGAGAGGTGAGGTGAGAGGACATCCAGGGGAGAAGTCCAGGTGGGAGAGGTGACAGCACTGTTATCACAGGAAGATGTGGAATTGCTGCATGTGGGTGCACCGCTGCTCTGCTAGGACAGGAAGCCAACCAGGACTGTAAACCTAGCACCAGTAACAAGTTAAAGAGATGGAGCTTAAAAGGGAAAACATTTTATTTGTAAGAAGGAAAAAGCAGAAGTCAGAAAGCTGCCACATGTGAGGGGAGAGCAGTGGGGGCCAGATGGATTCCCCCGGGCCCTTTGTCCCAAGCTTCCTCTTATCAGGTAATAAAGACCCTCCCAGGTCCTACCTGGAACTTATCACAACTGATTTGCTCTCTGGACTATAATATATGGATCCCAGGCCACAAGACCCTGATCTGGGTGTCATTGCCTATATCCACATTCTTACGTGGGGTTTTGTTTGATTTATCTCTGCCCACTTGTCCTTGTTAGGGCCTTACCTCTGCAATTTACAGGTTGCTTCGGAGGGACCTTACAGACAGGGTGAAGTTAGGGCTTAAGTAAGGGGATTGTGTATATCTATGCAGTAATACCATGATCCTAGAGTGGGAACACATTATATTTTTATATAGTTTCCCTTAAAGTTGGTAGCCCCTCCCCCTTTTGTCTTCCTTACATTTTATTAGAGGTGGGGAGGGAGGCTACCTTGCTTTCAAGCAGCTCCCACCTTGTACTCTGTCAGCCCGCCCCCACTCTGATTCTGTGATGTAAGTCCCAGTGCCATTTGGTGCCTTTTTAAATCTGGATACCTCTCTCTCTCCTTATACTTTTCATGGCTCCGTCCAGTAACAGTTTGACTCTTTCTATCAGGATTGGCCAGAAAGGCTGATGAAGCCTTTATTCTATTCTTTACCTGTCTTCTGTAGGGAACTCATTTTCCTACAGAAGTCCCAGCAACAGGTTGAGCCCTTGGGCAGGGCCATGATGTGTCTGAAGTCTAGGGTACTCTGACCTCTAGTACCTGGTGAAGCTTACTGATCCTTCTAAAAACACACAAAACAAAGGCACAAGAAAGCATAGTAATATTGCAAATAAAATAAAAATATGAAAATGCAAATTTGTGAGAAAGCTGTAGGATTATCTAGTGGCAAAGCTGATAATGTCCATAATTCCAAAGTTACAGTGATGGAAAAAACTCATATTTGAAGACACTGTGAACTACTGTGCTGAGTATGAAAATATTTGTGATTTCTACCAGCTCTGAAATCACGTAGGTTTCTGGTTTGTGTCCTAAACTCATGAATGAAAGAAATGACAATTTTTAATTATATACTAGTAGAAAAAAATCATGGGATTTGAAGTCACTCAGGTTCATGAACCCAGTGCCCTCTCCTCATAGATTCTGTGGTCATCCATTAAGGACTCTGGCATAGAGAAACAGGAGGGCCCAGGACTGAGCCACCAAAGCCCCCAGCATGTCGGAGCCTGATAAAGCAGAGGGATAACCGGGGACAGAAGGAATTCAGGACAGGGGCCTCGGGAAGTGCTTCCACTGGCCATACTGCTGGCAAGCCCAGTAACACAGGATGAGAAAGGTCGTTTGAGTGTGGCATCAAGCCAGGAGAGGGATTCCTGAGAGTGGAGAGACATGCTGGGGAGTAAATACAAGAATTCAAAACCACAACTAGTGTTTAAAGTGTTCGTGGATGTGTGAAATGCACCACAATTATGTATTGCTGTGTTTAAGGTAGGCTGGGTGTGGAGGTGAGAACATGGCGTTTGGTGCTGCAGGAAGCACGGAAACTAGAGAGCAGCGGGCGGGGCTGTGGGTTATTCTCAGGTGGGAGCTGGGAGAGCGCATTTGTGCATTGGGAGGGACTGGTAAGCGGTGATGACACTGAAGAAGGAGGCGGAGATCTGAGGGCCAAAGGCCAGGGGAAGCTCTGGGTCCCCGCAGTCTCCACACCCAGGCTTCTCACCCTGCAGCCAGTGTCAGACAGAGCCAGAGGCTGTTGAAGGGCAGACAGCTGGGATGCCTGAGCCCGTGTCACAGGTCTGGGTGGGCCTGGAAACTTGCACTTCTAACCAGCTCCCAAGTGGTGCTGAATTTGGACCCACTTAGAGGAAAGCCCTGCTCTAATCAAGCCTAGCATCACCAGGTGCACACTGGGGTGCATAGGATATGCGACCTGCAAAGGCGCTGTCAGAACAGGTGGGGTGGGGGAGGGGGTGCACCAGAGAGACTAAGGAGAAGGGGAGATGAAGGAAGGAGCAGCCACCTGGCCCCAGCCCAGCTCACCACCTGTTCCTGGGGAACACTGGTTTTCCTAAGGAACTTGGGAGCCACCCCATGGGACATCTCTGAAAACTGAGTGAGAGGCTGGGGGAAGGAACCAGGGACAAAGTGGGGAAGGTGCAGTGAGCCAAGAACAACAGGACAGAGAGGTCGTGAGTAGGGAAGTAGATGGTAACTTTTTCTCTGAATGCAAGCTCTGAGCCTGAGGACACACTGTTCACCTTACTACCTGAGCATGGTTTCAGCCCAATCCTGCTTTCTGGCTTGTAGGAAGGAGCAGCCCTGTGGGGTGAACTACAGCATGTGGGATCTCAGGGCCCTTAGGGACCATGGCAGCTCTGCTTGGCAGACAGCCACGGCTGGCATTTAGAAGCACACACAGCATATTCCCCTGCAAATTGTACGACAGAAAGATATGTGCCCAGCCCCTGCTGGCTTCTCCAGGCAAGTATGAACACCAGTGTGATGGAGTGACACGGGGACAGGGGCTGGTGTAACCAGGGCAGGAACAGAAGCCAAGTGAATCCTGGGCCTGACAGACGACGGTGGGAACAGGAGGAGTAACAGGGGGATTATGAGCAGAGGGCTGGCATTTGGAAATGCTGCTGAGTAGGAGATGGATTATAGGGGACAAGGTTGGGGCAGGGAGCCCTGTGAGGAGGCCAGTGCATTGCACTTCAGGGGAGACAACAGAGTGAGGCCACAGTGGAGACCACTGAGGGAAGCCGTCAGGGACCGCTTGGATAGGGTGCATCTTGATGGACAGCATGTGGGGTCAAGGATGATCCTCTTGAGGTGCAAATGCAGGAGGACTGGAAGTGTTATGGGCAGTGATAAAGAAAATGTAGGAAGCAGATCAGGTAGGACATATGTCTGAGTGAGTGGCGAGTGACCGCAGGGACTAATGACTTGGAGAATGGCTCTGGGTCAGGAAATGTCAGGAGTAACAGGCCTGTGGGGAGGCTGATACAGCTGACAGGCTCCCGCAGGGCTCACCGAGGCTCCCCCCACTTGCTGGTACAGGTCCTGAACCAGCTGTTGTCCATGGAAGACCAGATGCTGGAGACTTTACTTTCCACTGACAAGCAGGAGAAGGACATGCAGACGCAGAGTAACACACTGAAAACCTTGTATGGTCGCAGCAGGTAGGTGCTGGTGCCTGGGCTCTGGGGGGGACCTGGGGCTGAGCCACCAGGACTCACGCTCAGAACCCAGTCTGCACCTAGGGCTGGGGCTGGGGCTGGGGCTGGGGCTGAAGCTGGGACCGGGCCAGGGATGGAAAGACTGTAAGCAAGATTGGAGTCCAGAGGAGTTGGGAGGAGAATAGGCAAGAGCCTGGGCTGGGGTTACCCTGGGGACAAGACAGGCCCAGGAAATGTCCCATAGCCTTGGGTGGGGGCAGAGAAGGATGTATTTTCGGGGCTCAGAGCACCCTGATTCTGTCTTTCTGTTTTCTTCCCTTGTTCTCTTTATTTTATAAACTTTAACTGCTCTATTAAGATATAGTTTACACACCATGCAATTCACGTATATTTTCATTGGCTTTACTGATTTCAAATAAATAACCTGATCCAGTCCACCTGCTCCCCTTCCCTCAGGACACCATAACAACCAGTTTCTATTATGAAATTCAGCGTCACTTCATTATATACAAATCTGCATTAGGGTACGTACTTTAACATAGAAAGAAAAAATAGTGGGTTATAGATAAGGCAGTGAAATCATACACCCCAGTCTGATTTGCTGTTGGTTTCCAAATGAATGGAGAGAAAACTGCAAGGTCAGAGTTCTGAGAGGCAAATCCTGCTCAGTGAACAACCTTGTCAACGGGATGAGATGTTGTTGCTTGCACATGCTGTGAGCAGGGCACACCATAAGGACCATTCTCTCTCTGCAAAATGGATATCTTTAGGAGAGGTTTGTATCTCATCCTCCCGCCCCAATGTCCAGGCCACAAGAACTGGGCCATTTTAGTCACTCTGATTTGAACTGGTGTATAAAAATCCACAGAAATGAAAGACATCATTAATTAGCTCTTGATCCATGAAGACAGCTAGAATTCTAGAATTCCAGGGTGCCCAATTTTTAATTATAATTTGGGGCTTAGAAGAAGGTACTTCTGCCCTGGACTAATTTAGCTCTGAGTCTGAGAAAGGGTCTGCAAACCTGGATCTAGAGTAAAATATTTCCCTCCCAACCCTATCCCTCTGCCTCTGGATTACTGGAACCAGAATTTGGCTACCCAGTTCCTAGTGTCCCAGCTGAGTGACCTCTGCCCTCTACTGGGCCCCAGTCCACATCGTTCCCCTCCCTAGTCCATGTCTACTATGGACAGGGACTGCAGGATGTGTGATCCCAAACATGACCCTTTACCCTCCTGGGTCTCCAGTTTTGAGTATCAGTGAGGTGTTGGACAGTGTCCAGCCCTACCTACCCTTCCCTACAGTTACCTGGACCCTATAATGCTCATTGCGGAAGCACAGCAACAGGCCCAGCTGGCTGGCCTCCATGGCTTAAAGGAGAATGTGCAGCAGCTCCTGGACCTCCAGAACAGCACCCTCACCATCATCAAGGACAGCTTGCAAGCTGCCAGCAGCATGTTCAGCCGCCGGCACCGAAAGCAGCGCCACCTCCTAGAGACCCTGCAAGAGCTCATTTATCTAGTGGACCAGGGCCCAGGTGATCAAGCCATGAATCTGGGCAGGAGGCCAGGGATGCGGGCAGGAGCAGGGGAATCTAGGGAAACTATAGGCAATCTAAGGAAACTATACTGTGGGAATCTATACTGTGCTGTATAGCCATACATTCCACTCTACTTTTATGTCCTATCTTTACTCTCAATCATTTTCCTAAACTCAAAGGGGCACTGAAGAACCCTGCAATATAACAGTGGTGGTTATTTCACTTTGTTAATGTTATCCTTGTTGTTATTGCTATTGTCGTTGACTCAGGAAATTCATAGTGCATGGGACCCTGAAAGGGTGGCTGGAATTCTCAGGCCAGCTCCTGGCTCAGCCTTTACTTTGCTTAGGGACGTATGACCCATCCTTGTTTGCTTTGAGGCCAGTGCCTTCTCCATGCTTATTTTGACTCCGGTCCACTGAACTATGGGGAGTTGGGGGCTGCTGTCAGGTGGAAAGTGGAGGCATCCTCAGGGAAATGTTATACCCGGGCTGGGATGGATGAAGGTCCCAGTGGTCTCATTGGTGGTATGGACACAGGAGCCCACTTCAGACAGGTGCTCCAAATGCAGGTTCTGGGAGCCACAGTCCAAGTGTGAGGCAAAAACGGGGAGTCCTGCCCTCTGATAGCCTCCTGGTTTTTCTTTGGAATTGAGACCTTTCCCTCTGAAAGTTGAGCCCCATCTTTTTACTGACCTACACAGAGTGTTTGGCTTCTGATAGAATTGGAGTCTGTATCTCTAATTGGATCTTACTAAATGAACTAGAGGAAAGCTTCCCAATTCATGCAGTGCGTTGGTCAGTAGTCCTTTTTTCCAGGGACCCATGGGCCCAGGAAAGTTTAAACGTTAGATCAGTACTTTCCTCAGAAACATGATCTAGAGTGAAGAAATATGGGTCTTGAAGGCCAGTGAGCAGCCCCTGGGGTACACAGAATGAGGGCCCTGAGCTAAGGGCTACAGGGAAAGTCATCTGAATTTTGGCCAAGACAGGAGCCCACGGCCCTACACCCAAGTAAGCCCCAAGAAGAGAGGGTTGTGTACCAGCTGGCTAGAAACCCATACTCTGGGCCCTTCGCCTCCTGGTCTGTGGAATGGGAGGTACCTTGCTGGAGTGAGGGCTTCATTCCCCTCTTTGAATAGCTTAGCTCCTTCTCTCTAGATGCACTGCTTTGAGGCTGAGCATCTGTAGCCCCACTCTGACCACAGTGCACTTCCTGGACGAGGCAGTCTGGGCATTTCTTCCTGGCACTCGGGGCCAGTTGGCCCTACTTCTCCTCTCTGCCCTGTTCCTTCCTGGCCCACTCTTTGCCTGCTGCATCCTACCTCAAACAGCCAGAGCACTCTTGCCAAGGCTGTGCACTCATGGTAGAAGTCAGCCCCAAAGCATAGCCCTCTTCCCTGCTCACACCAGACCACCCGCCTTGAAGCCTTTACCATGCTGTTCCCTCTGCCCGGACACCACCTCTTCTCAATTCAAGAACTCCTGCTTGGGCCCTGCTCACTATCACCTCTTCTAGGAAACCTTCCCAGTTCTGGCTCGTCTTCCCATCCCTGCACCTCCTTACCTGGCCTGCACCCAGGAGAACAGGAGGCAGGGAGCCCACCCTGTTCCTTCCAGCTCCTCACTCATCTCCAGCTGACCTTTGCTTGGTCCCATTAATGCCTCCACAGGTGCCGCTCCGCTGGGGTTCCAGGACTGTGAGGATATCCGCAGGTCTGGGCTCAAAGATGATGGCATCTACACCATCCTGGTTCCCAATGTGACAGAGCCCAAGAGGGTAAGGGGGTCCTAACATAGGGTGTGCACGTGTGACTGTATCAGTGGGCGCTGAGCCAAGAGCTTTCCAGACAGAGAGCTTTGGGATTGGTACTGCCCAGTATCTGAGATACCAGTGAACCCGGGGATGTCTAAGTTCTGAAGCATCCAGGCAGGGGTCAGGCCATGGGGCAATGTGCAGAAGATCCCAAAGTAGAAGTGCTACCTTCCGGAGAGGGCTTCCTTGGAGTAGCAGGAAACAGCTCTGTGCTGGCTAAGGTCATGCTCACCGACAGAACAAGTCATCCCTGCAATTCCAGGGGCTCAGCACAAAGGGGCTTATTTCCATTTGAAGTTAGGAATTGGGGCTCTTCTCCAGGCAGGACCTTCGTGACTGGGGCCCACGGAGAAATCGCCATCTTCAGTGAGTGGCTCCCAAGGCCTTGAGTGGGAGGGTTTGGAAGAGAACCTGTGTCAGGCAGGGCTTGGGACAGCGAGAAAGCGGTCCTGCTTCATAATTCCTCTGCGCTTTCCTCTTAATCCTTCTGTGTGTGTTGTAGAGAGGCTCCGTTTGTCCCCAGAATCTTTCACACTTCTCGTATACCTGCTAAATGATCCTTTTGGGAAAAAGATATCAGCTGGAATGCCCTGTGTGGGCAAAAATTCAAGTTAGAATTTCATATTACTTGGTTTCATTAAAATTATTTTTATAATCATCTGAATAAAGGCAAATGTTACTACTTTTCCATGTATGCTACTCATTAGATTTCCTTATAAAATACATTGCAACTTACTTAATTACAGAATAATGCAGAACACCATTTTAAAAACGGATGTTATCATACAGCCCATGCTGTTTCATCAGCACTCTCCCTGGAAAATGTTAGTCCACTCATCTCTCTCTGGCAGACACACACCACTGGGCAGATGCCGCCTCCTCCAGGAAATATTTCAGGGTCAGTGGCCTCCTCTTGGGGCTCTTACTTGTAGGCACCCAAATGTTCACAATCAATTGTCTTCTGACCTATCATAGCCTCTTCTAGACCAAGCCCGTCTGAAGCCTGATGTATCTGGCTTCATCAAAAATTCATCAAAAGTTCATCCAGTACAGGGCCAAGTGTCAAGTCACATTCACAGAATATTGAACATGCCCTGAGCTGATAGAAAAAAAATTGAGAACAACTGGAACAATAGTTAGCCTGAATTGTGTAGTTGTGATAGATGCTAAGCTCTTTGAAAGAAAGGATTCTTTTTATTTCTATCATGTTAGCATCCGCAGGGCTTTAAACAGAGCCTCACACTCATACTTGGTAAACCATTGTGTCCTGAAGATCAGCAGTACTAGCATTTCCTGCTTCTACATGGTGGCTAAGCTCTTTATGCTCATTTACATTTAATCCTTCCAGCAACCCTGCAATCTTAAGGAGTGGGATGCCTCCATTCACATCTCTTCTTCACATGACCCATCTCATTGATTTCTCACAGTAATTCCAGTTTGCAGAGGAGAAACTGAGGCACAAAGAGGTTAAGATATGAACACCCCCATTTTACAAGTGAGGCAAGGTGGCTGTGGGAGAGCATCACTGACTGTCATTTTACAAAATGATGACAATGAGTAGAAATTGGAGCCTGGATCTTTCTCATGACCTTGACTACCTTTTGCTCTGCGGGGACTGGGGGTGAGGGTCCACCAGCCAAGTCACCCCTGTGCTGCCCAGGACCTGGCTTCTGGCTGTGTCCAGGTGATTCCAGCTGCTTCCCCTTTTTCCAGGTGTTCTGTGTGATGGACACCGATGGAGGAGCCTGGACGGTTATCCAGCGCCGTGAGAATGGCACAGTGAATTTCCAGCGGAACTGGCAGGACTACAAGCAGGTGACCCTGCTGGCCTGGGGTGAGGCTTTGCAGCTCTGAAACCTGGTGTGGGTGCTTGGGCGTTGGCAAGGGGAGGGAAGCTGGTTTTACCCTTACCCTTTCCTGGAAAAAGAGATCAAACTCCTGGGGCTGGGGATTTAGCTCAGCGGCAAAAGCGCCTGTCTAGCATGCACAAAGTCGTGAGTTCGGTTCCCGGTAC